GTGAAGTCATTATTTTTTTCAGTTTCTTGTTGTTTTGTACCAATGAATGGGATGAATGCAGCACAACAAATGAGAATAAAAATGAGAGACAACAAATGGAAAAGACCTTTTCACATGGTGCGTGACTATGTGGAATGTATATTAAATGTGGTTGTTTTTGTGTATGAGCATATAAAAGCATAGCATTGCTGACCATTGCAGTGGCCCTACAGCAAACAAGACTATGTGAAGCTTACAAAGTTTATGCAATGTCAGAATATTATTTTATAATATAAATAATCAAGACTAAATAAGCTTCATATCTTCACATGGAGCAGGTCCTTTCCCAGGTAATCCACCATGTTGCGCTGCCATGTTTCTACAGTAGCCCAGAACAGACAAACCAAACACTGGCTCTAAAAGGGCCTTTTGCATTGTTGTAATAGAGTAAGGCCACCATAGATTCTCCTGCATGCTTGGAAAGGGAGAGGTGAGTGGAGGGGTTTTTGGTTGCAATCTGCAACTTACTGTTAGATACTACTAAATCCATCACACTAGTCTTTTACGTTATTATTTAATGAATCAAAAAGGAGAACACCTGCGCACTTGCAGAAAAAGGTTAAATGTATTAGACTACAACGTTTCGGTCATGGACATTCATCAGGTAGAAACGTAGAAACGTTATTATTTAATAAAACTTTAACACCCCAAAACTCTGCCTCATCTGCATTATGTGGGTGTGGTTTGATTAGATTTGCCTGACAGTGACCAAACAACCCAACAGCGTTGCCAAAAAACAAATTATCGCACAAAGACTCCAAAATTATCATATTTCAAGGGAAACCATCATACACTGGGTGTTTTTAATGCACAGTAAATGACTCACAGCATATCCACTGGTTAACAAATCTGACTACAGGCTAGCATTCATTATTCAGGGTACAGGGCACTTGTGAAACACAGTTACAAAGAGTTTATAAGAGTTTATGTTTGATTGATGGTGACTGTCTCACGAGATGTCAACAGAGATCTGGATTATTAATGACTAATCCAGTGTCAGTTCTCTGCAATTTATAAGTCTTATAATGGCACAAGAGTCATAAAGATTCATTATCTGAGAACCATGAATGTGTGTACACATTATCATGACAATCTATAGTTGTTAAAATAATTTGGTCTGGACCAAAGCAGTGGGCTGACAGACCGACACTGCCATGCTTAGAGCCATGCTGCTGGTGTGGCTAAAAATAGTCAGAGTATACAAGAAGGTGACAGCAATCCACTATCACCACCACCAAGAACCCTGTCAAAACCTCTGTGGAGAGGAAGCAACACCTCTCTGACACATCTGAAACAAAAACAGAGCTTTAGAAGGTTCACAGAAGTTAACTGCAGTTATTGTCTCCACCCACAGTGCTTTAACATTGTGTCTTTTTTTTCATGTGTGTATGTTTTGACCCAAGGAGCTCAGCATGGTGCTGGTCAGAGCAGACAGGACATTGAAATCTCCCTTGAAGAAGCTGCTCTCTGTCTCAGCCACAGATGAGCTGCTGCAGAGGACTGGAGCTAAACCAGGAGACCTGCTGCTGATGGCAGCTGGTTCCCTCCACACTGTGGTGAGACTTGCTCACGTCAAACTTGGATTGACGAAGGGGGAAAGTTTTACAACATACAAAGGAAAGATAATAGCGAATATAACAAGAATATACCTTAATTCATCTTCTCTGGTCTCTTCATCCCACTCTTCCTTTCTCCTGTGTCTTACACTCTTGCTCTGCTGTCAGCGCCCGTTACTGGGTAATCTTCGCCTGCAGTGTGCAGAGCTCCTGGAGTCTTATGGCGTGTCAATCCGTGACCCCTCAGTCTTCCACTTCCTGTGGGTTGTAGACTTCCCTCTATTCTTGCCCAAAGAAGACGAGCCAGAGAAGCTGGAGTCAGCCCATCATCCATTTACTGCTCCACTGCCAGAGGACACACAGTTACTCTACACAGAGCCACAGAAGGTTGTCACATAGATTCACTCTGTATCTGTGTAATCTTTGTGTTGTTTTTTTAATCACTTTTGGATGTTTATGAATAATCATATATCATGCACGAGGGATTATGGGTTGTACTGTCATTTTGCAGGTGCGTGGTCAGCACTATGACCTGGTGTTGAACGGCTGTGAGATTGGAGGAGGCTCCATCCGCATCCACAAGGCCTCAGAACAGCTTCATGTCCTGAAAAGTATCCTTAAGGTCAGTCGTTGCATATCTTGGCAGTGTCAAGCCTACCTTTGGAATTAGGTTGAATCAATTACAGGTCTTCACTGTTTTTGAAATGTGTCTGCTGCAGGAAGACCCCAGTCTTCTCTCTCACCTGCTGGAGGCCCTGGACTCAGGAGCACCACCACATGGAGGCATTGCTCTGGGTAAGGTTAACTCTACCCTTGACCACAGCAAACTTTAACAATTACTGAGCTAGTTTGCAGCGGAATGCTGCTGGCTGTCCAGGTGGTCTGGGATTAGCTGAAAGCAGAGCCAAGGACCATTGGTGGGGCTCCAGTATTGGGTCTGGCTCTGTCTTCACTGACAACGCTGCAGCCCCCACTAGTGGTCCTGGGTGAGTATGATCTGGTCAGGTACAGATTTATCAGTGAACCACATTTCTGGTTGTTTACTGAGCATCAGACAAAATCTTTTCTATGTTACATATAAAGCTGTGTACACACATAATATCTTTCAGCTACGTCTGCTACAGCTCACAGTTTAAAAATCCAAGAGCTGCAAATTATTGAAGTGTTAGATGACAGAAATGATAGATTTAGGGTCAAATTTGAACAGGGAATTTCAGTGGAAAACAAAAACTTGGGCTGTCAAATGATTATTTATTTTTTTTAATTGTGATTAGTTGCTAAATTTCAATAGTTAATTAATTTTGCATTTCAAAACAGTTTTGAAGTCCAGTTTTGGGGGGACAGGAGATCTTTTGGGGGGAGATATCAGGTCAGTAGTATATGCCACATAGAAGTGGTATATATCACCTACTGTAAAAGCTGGAAACCTGTAGATTAATTTGAGGTGCAACTCAGCAATGTGTGTCGTTTTCCTAGTCATAAATGTGTAATAAACAATGCATGCAAAAAAAAAAGGCATCGCTTGTGTCCAAAACTGTATGGGACTCACATATAGTGGACATGACTGTAAAGAGGAGACTCACACAATCCATCTTCTTTCAGATATCTTGAGGTGAGAGATCAAGGCACCTCTGTAAAAATGGCCATGTTGTTTTTTCCTCATCAAAATATTGGCTAGATTTGTAGCATTAGTTAGCCCCTTCCTGAGAAGCTAGCATAACATGTTTGGTACCATTAGATTCCTAAGATCTTGTAGTTTTATAGGATATGTGTATCAGCCAGCTCACAGCCCTAAATAATACATTTAAATTAAAACTCAAAATACATAGAAAAAGATGAAATGCAGCCAGTAAAACATTTTTGAATTATAGTAAAGTATTGCATATCTGTCAACACCTGCTCTATGCCTTATCCATATGACATATCTGTAATAATATCAATAGATAAGGTATCCGTTGGGCAGTAGTTCTCAGTTCAACTGATAAATCATACCCAGTAAGTAAAATATTATTATGTATGGAACCCTACAAGTGTTAAAATATGAAATGCTATATGATATATGTAATATTTAAAACCACCACTAAAAGTGCACAATTCATGAGCTAAAAGGTGAAAATAATTATATATTTATTAAGTCATCTTATCACTCCATGATTTTCTAGGTTTGGACCGGCTGGTCTCCATTATGGTTGGGGCTCCCAGCATCCGTGACGTCATTGCCTTCCCTAAGTCATTCCGAGGCCACGACCTCATGAGCTGCGCTCCTGACTTAGTACCTGAGGAGGAGCTGAAGTCTTACCACATCTCTGTCAAATGGCCCACAGAGCAAGGAAGAGGAGGAGGAGGAGGAGAAGAGGGGAAGTGAGGAGGTAAAGAAGGAAGAGATGAAGAGACATCAGAAGAGGGGGTGATGCCAGATCTTGGTAACCTACACAACAGAGGAAATGGCGTAAGGACACAGCAACAGAGATGAGCAGACAGCCAGCAGGTGGTGTAGAGACTGTAGCCTGTGAAGACCTCCGCCAGCTGGCTGGCAAATATGAGGAGGAAGAGAGAAAATGAGGAGGAGGTGATGCTGTGGCTGCATCTCAGTACTGTTATTTTGGAATGGAAGAGAAAAGGGGAATGGATAAGCCACACATAAGCATACATTATGGAAATCTGAAACATCAACTGGTTCAGCAAAGAAGAACAGCTCAGCACCAAGTCTCAATGATAACAAATGGCTGAAGTCAAATTTTATACTGTATAGATACTGAACCTGTTATGATGGTGGTTTTGTCTCAGACGAATGCCTTATAAAATCACTCTCAAATAACAAAAATAAAATATTTCTTTGAAATACATTTTTCTATCAATGATTAACAATTTCCTCAAATCAAAATTAGTAATATTTTAAGGACCTATAGCTCTAATGACTGTAAAGAGCTGCTTATTTTGTATTAGTTTGTGTCACATGATGGTCCAAATGTTGTTTTAGACCTTGCTCCACATTGATGATAATAAAACCAAACCTGTAATTGTAAAATATACAGTCCTGGTCTGTGTAAAAGCGCATTCTAATTTTCAGCTCAAGCCATTATGAGGCTTCAGTAGTCTATGCTGGCCATATCAAGTGAGTATCTTCCAAAGTTCAAGTCTTTTTTATTGCAGAATTTCCTCTTTATGTTTCAGATGGTGCTTTCTCTCTGGGTTATGTGGAGGAATAGTAACACAAAGAGGAAGTATTTTACAAAAAAACTAATATCATGGTATTCACAAGGTATTCTTGAGGCTATAAAGAACAGGAGGTACAGGTCTTATTGAAATTCTTTGTAAATAACAGGTAAAAGATCGATAACTAAAAAACTAACAAACCCTGAGTGATGACGACATCAGTGATAACCCGGAAGAGAAGTGAACAGCCCGTGACCTTATTCGCTGTGTATGTAACGTTGGAGGAAAATGACTGAACAGAGATGTGATTGTTCCGTTTTGCTTTCGACACCAGTGAACTGTTGGCTCGCTTTAACGACTTAACAGCGAGAATAAGGACCACAGTAAAGCTGTCTAACTACCGGAATGTCGTTACAATCGGAAACGACAGTCGGTTATTTAGTGAATTTCGTCAGACAGACTTCAGGTGATGCTAAACGGCCATCCAACTAACGTTAAACGAAATTAGCCCGTATGTCGGTTATTGGACAGCCTCTGTTCTTCTGCCTTTCAGCTGTTTGCTACATGACAGTCGACGTCTTTGTCCGTTAATTAACGCCAGGTGTGAAGCAGTAGCTGTAACGTTAGTTGCTTTACTGGGACCCTTCGGTGGCGTTGACAGCCACGTCAGCTAACGTTAGCTTAACGCTAGTTACATCTACACAGCCTGTGTTAGACTGCGAGCAGCTGGGCTGTTGGTTTGTGCTGTGATTCGTATTATACAAGCTAAACGCTAAGAGAAGTCTTCCGAGACAATGGCTCCTATGGGTATCCGGCTGTCACCGCTCGGTGTGGCGGTGTTCTGCCTCCTAGGAGTCGGTGTCATCTACCACCTGTACGCAGGGGTCATCTCCAACCGCCTGGCTGCTTTCAGGTCAGACGCTACTCACATTTCCATACATGATATAACGTGAAACTGTCTCTCACTGTTGGTACGGTAATTGTATCTGCAAATGCAGGGCTCTGCTTGTACGTTAAACACCAGTGCACCACCAGGCTCCTATCAGTGTTTGTGAAGCTGGATGGAGAAAAGATAATATGTTTGATGTGTGAGTGTTTCCTTAGAGCAAGTGCCCAGTCTCTTGTATGACTGATGCTACTACATGATAATATTCTGTCATAGCTCAAGACATGTAGCTGCTTACTGTGGCTGGGGTTTGAACTAGTATAGTTTTTTAAGCACATATTGAAATGTGTCTGTTGCATTGAATATTGAATGCATCAGCCTTACTGCTGATCTCAAGCATTACCATGATATGGCTTTCAGTGGTCTATGGGGAGACACCGAGTCTTTGTAACTGTCTTACATGGCAGTGGTTTGAATGTAAGATGATGAATGACCACAAAATTTCAGCTTCATTTCAAAACACCAGGGTGACCAAAACCTACTTCCTTATTCACCCTCCTAAAGCTGATAAGACTGACATAGTTTCATCAGGTTTGGTGTGAAGAAAGTTTTTTATTGAGTCAGTGTTGTTTTGACTTTTCTTGCTCTGTCCTTTTGTATCTGCAGACAGAGAAGAACAGTGGATCTGAGGGAGCTGCTGGCTGTCTCAGTGGAGGCTGCAGTGCTAGGTGGCACAGAGGTAAAAATATGGTTGTGGGTTTTTTCCACAGCAAAATGAACAAATGTAAAAGGGGGTTTTGTAGTATTGACTTTAAACTGAGAGCAATTTTCATGTAATTCCCAACTTATAGTTTGTTTGAGCTTGCTTGTTTGATCAGGGTTTTGTAATGGATAGATTAAATTGCCTGACAGTAGTGACTTGTATAAAAGCACAAGGACGACAGATAAATACCACAACTTAGCTGAAAAAGGGATCTTTACTGTTGTTTTTGAAGTCCATCTTTGCAAAAATAGTTTTTAAAAAGTTATTTTTTAGCTAATGTTGAAGTGTCAAGGACATGATTGTATATTCATTTCATCTAATTTCCACACACACTGGCTTGAGGCAAGGCAGGTTTATTTATATAGCATGTTCTAGCAACATAGCAATTCAGAAAGCTAGACATGAAACATCAAAAACATTTAGACATAGCGCAAAGAAGACACAATATAAAAGGACATTTAAATACATTTACAACAGTCTACAACGAGCCAAGAGAATAGAAAATAAAAACAAGTTAAGATAGAGTAAGACACATGAAATAATCATGAAAGTTACAATGAAGTGTAAGAAATGATTTAAGAAAAGGCAGCGGCAAACAAAAACATCTTCAGCCTTGATCTAAAAGAGCAGAGAGTTGCAGCGGACTTGCAGGTTTCTTGGAATTTGCTCCAGATATGCGGTGCATAAAATCTGAAAGCTGCTTCTCCATGTTTAGTTTTGACTCTGGGGTCACAAAGCAGACCTGTCCCAGATGACCTGACAGGTCTGGATGGTTCGTAATGTTGTAGAAGTTAAAATTATTGAGCTTCAGTCACCTCTAACAGAGTCATGGACTGAATGTGGGAGTAGTAAGCTGTGTATTTTTAAGATGTTTCTTTATGACCAGTCAAATGTTTAGAATACTTTCCAATTTTTACAATTTTCCAGACCACATTTAGACTGAGATACTGTATCACACCAGTTCATTATTAATCTCTATAAACAGATATCTGCTCATGTATGCAGAATCTGCAGGCAACAGCACAAGATTTTGGTATCACAAACATTCTGGTTCTGTCATGGTAGTTTTGACTGATTACATCTGAGCAGGCTTTGGTTGCCTACAGGTAAACAGGAGTGAATCTCTGAACCTGTCAGCTATTGTCTGTCAAGGATTTTGCTTTTTATTGGCTTTTTTCAAAATGTATCTCTGTTCACATGCAGATATCTGTTAATAGAGATTAGCTGAAATGTTGTCTGGACCTGTCTCAAGTTGCTTATCGAACAGTAAGTGGTGCACAGAAGAGGAAGTCTTGGTTCGGATATCCACTGGCTACAGCGGATCTCCTGAAATATTGGCTCTTGCCCCCAGAGGCCTAATTGTTGTCAAATGATATTCAGTGGTTTCTAAGAGTGGTTGATGATGAAAGAAAATACATACATACTTGTTTTCTACTTAAGAAATAATTGACTTATGTTGACTAAAAATATTGATTTAATATCAGTCTGTAATTATTGAATAATCTGTGGCATGACTGTAGTAAAGTGTTTATAGTGTGCTCCAGAGATGACATTTTTCTGTTGGCCGACAAGGGAAGTTAGCGTTGCCCTGGTTCCCTCATTCAAAAGCCTATGGATCTTTTCCATTGGATTTTGGATCATTACAATAAATAAGCTATGTGGCAAAAAAGTTTGATACCTACACATTTTGGTCAGCAAGATAGTCTTCACAAATGAACACCATTTTCATGATTTTTGAAGCCTAAATGCCATGTCAGAAGTAAAGACGTGATCAGCATCTGGGGCACAACAGTATCAACATGTGGTGAAGATGATGAGGAGTTGTGTTTTCTTTCCTCCCTAGGTGAAGAAGGTGCGTGAAGAAAATGGCCTGAAAGAGAAGTCAAAGGGCAAGACAAGGGAGGGAGCCAATGAGCTTCTGACTATGGGTGACCTGCAGTCTCATAGAAAGATGTTTAACCTCATAAGCAACACCTTCCCTGAAGTCACGGTGAGCACAAATCACTTAAGCTGTCGGGCAGGTCTCCTTTATTCCACACATTTTTCAGTTCTTTTTACAGGCATTGCTTGTCTACTGTAGAAATAACATTGATATTACAGAATAGCAGTACTTGTTAGGCAGATCTCAGTCACAACCAGTTCCACTGGTCTAGACAAGTCAATCACAAACTGGAAATTATCATTAAGTAGCAATAAAGCTAGAAACCACAGAAGCAAGGCTTTAATGTGATGTTAGAGGTGGACCCTTAGGAAAACTGTTGTGGTCTCATCATTCCTGTGTTTCCTTCAATCAGTTTTGAGTCAAACAGGAAATCTTATTTGTAAGATGCCTTCACATACCATTTTAAGTAAGAAATTTACCTAAGGCACAGGACTCATACTTCTGCCTGCATGTGTGTCCCTTCAGGTGAACAGTGAGGAACATGACAGCATGGTGGATAAGGCCGCAGCCTGGAGCCGGGACATTCCAGCTGACATACGAGACAAGATAGACGGCGGCAAAGACGTTCCTGCTGAGAGTGTCACTGTGTGGATCGATCCTCTAGATGCTACGCAGGAATATACAGGTGTGCATGTTACTGGAGTTAGGTCATCTTAATTTACACAGTCATTTTAGAAGACACATTGGATGTTTACCTGTCACTGAGAAACATTGTGTGCTGCTCCTCTTAAAGCAGTTTTTTCACTAAAAAATGATTTGCTGATTTGGCTTCACAGATCAGGCTCATGGGACTGTGTAGGGTACATTGTTAAAATTGTAAAATGGTTGTTATGTTAAATGAAAATATCCGGTTTAGTGGGCACTGTCTTGTCTAAGGTCAGGTTATTTGTTCCATTATCTACAGAAAGTTGACTCACCATGCAGGGTCCTTGGCAGCAAAGCCCTTTTTAACATTCATCCAGTTAATTTCATACAGCTGGGAGCTGCCTGCTAAAGCTAATGTTTACTCTGTCAGCGGCTGAGAGGATGTCCACACTACGCCAGTTCATTTTATAAATGAATCCTTTTCTGTCTGTTTCAGTCCTCCATCCAGACTAAAACTGTATTTTTCTTGCCAAAAAACTGAACTTGTGTGAGTGTATAAATCTTTAAACATCAGCCAAGTGTTCCAGTGTGTACAGTAGTGATGCATGAGTTTACCCATAGTCTGCGTGTGCCACAGGTTTACTCATGGGTCAGGCGTGTTGGGTAAGCTTGTTGAAAAAATATTGCAAGTTTAGGGCGCGCGGGTAATAAAGTGACAAAGCAGCATTCTGAGTACGGTATTATGACCTACAGAAACATAGTGCAATAATCCAACTTCCACCTTCTCTTCCTATCTCTCTGTCTGATACCTAGAGCAGGCAGTGTAACCAGCTGTGTCTGAAGCTGCCCAGTCACACTCGATGGTGCGGCAGTAAAATTGAGATAACTTTCCATCATCTCTTATTGTCAGTCTAGTCTATCACGCAGCTGTTCTGTTTTTATGTTAATTTTGCATCAAAAAATACGGTTTAGTCAGCCTGGCTGTCTGTCCCATTCTTTACCAGCTGTGGGCCCTTTCACTTTGGGCAGAGGGCTTCACAAAATAATAACCTGGAAATATAAGAGTGGATGCAAGTTGTATTCCCACGATATGAAAGTATATATATAAAAAAAATGTTACACTTCACTACATTAGTCATTTAACTAAACAGTTTAGAGGTTAGAGTCACTTATTTTTGGTACAACCAACATAAAGGTCATTGCTTTTTATACCCCCCCAAAAATCCTCTAAGTCTCAGTGTTTCTGTTTTGTAGTCTGAGTATCTTGTTTATAGATGACTTCTGAAAATTAAGTTCAAGATAATTGCAGAACAAATAGACGGTGGTAGCCTATATAGTAATGGTAGTATTATACTGTTTCTGCCAAAGCAGGGGCCTGTGGCCCCTGGGGTTGGAAACCACAGGCCCAGACACACCAAACCGACATCTACGAACTAGTGGCGACAGAGACAGACTGTTGCGTCGCCTCACGTCGCTTATGTCTCAGCCAAAAAGCTGCACATGAGCACACCACAAAGACTACAGCTGATGGTCAACTAGCACGTACATTCTGCGCCTGCTTGAGAGGAAATAACTCTTCATACCAGCAGAAGATGGTAGTCTGTATTTGACATTCCAAAAGGGAAAGTGGAAAACCGACAGGACGGATTCAAGATGCTAGTTAGCAAGCGCGGACAATAACAACACAACCCGATGTTGAAGCAATAACACAAACAATTATGAACCGTTTCTGCTTAAGAGCTCAGTGGCTAAAAAAAATCCTACTTCATATAACAAGTTTGTTTGATCCCACACACTTTTAAGTTGTTTCCTCACTTCCATTTTTTCATCTTTTGCACTGAGCTGAACAGCCAATGAGAGGGATTCACCCACTGATAGGCTCCACCACTGATTTAGCATGCTGAAAACAGCTGCAGGTCACACTGCAAAAACTAGGTCGACAGGTACTCATCAGCGGTCTACCACTGGCTTGGTGTATCAGGGTCCCTGGAGAAACTAACTGGTAGTTGTTTTAAGTGTATGGGAGAGTTTTCTAATTAGTGTTTACCTATTAAATCCCCAGCTGGATAGGAAGTTCTTTCAAACAGCAGTCCAGTATTTATTTGCTATTAATAAGAACATAAAGGTTTACAAAACACAAATATGCACAGATAGGACACTTATCTCTGTATCTTCTGTTCTCTCCACTGGTCTCCTCTATTCATTCTTCATTTTCCCTGCTCCCACCCATATCCTGTAACCTCTTTTCCGTTCTCCTTATCTCCCTCTCTCTTTACCATCTCTCCTATCTTTGTCCATCTCTCTCCCCAACTCTGCCCTCTGTGTTTATCTGCTGATCTCCCTCTCCACAGAGAATCTACCACAGTATGTGACCACAATGGTATGTGTGGCTGTAGATGGTAAACCAATCATCGGGGTCATACACCAGCCATTTACTGGGTTCACTGGTAAGAGTGTGTGTGTGTGCCTCCACAACTTGGTTCTGTCTGTCAATCAAGATGTCTCTGCCTTTACATGGTTAGATGAATGGTGCCTGTTTGGATAAAAATCTCACATTTTATTGAAATAAATGCATTTTTCTCTCTTTTGCGACAATCACTTAACTTAAGGCTTTCCTTTAACCTTGGCATGAAGGAGTTCTGCTACATTGCCATTTCAGGGGAAAAAGCTTTAAAATTTGCTTTCTGTTCTGGTTCAGAAGTTGGCCAAAAAAAAAAATGTTTTGTACTTCTTCCTCCTCTGTAACACTCCATTCCCTTTGTCTCTGTCTCCCTCCAGTCTCCCCCAGCCTGGGCGTTTGTAGGTCAGGCGTCAAACATGCGTCCCCGGTCAGCCTACAGTATCAGCCCTCCAAAGGTGATTGTGTCACGTTCCCACTCTGGAAAAGTTAAAAGTTTTGTTCAGGATGCTTTTGGAAACAGCACAACAGTCATAGGAGCAGGTGGAGCAGGTGTGTAGAGAATTCTGAAGTATTGCATGTGCAGACTAAGTTCAAAGGCTATATCTGCAACTATGATATCAGTTGCGGTTTATGCAAAATATAATCTTCATTCATAGGACCAGATATCATCATAACGTGCATCTCATTCTCATTCTGTTTTTTTTTTTTTTTTAGGATATAAGGTCCTGTCACTTTTGGAGATGCCTACCAGTGAAACAGCTCCTATGGAACAGGCAGACATTTACATCCACGTCACATATATTAAAAAGTGGGACATCTGCGCTGGTGCTGCAATACTGAATGCACTGGGTAATGTAATATTTTCCATTGTGTTGTTTTCTTTTCAGTTTTAAAATTCTATTTAGATTTTCCTACTTTTGTGGTTCAGTGGATTACATTCTGAATCAGTTGTTGGTAAATCCTGATTGGTACATGGAAGAATGTGTCATCAGGTTTTTCCAACTGACCCTCGCCTGCTTCAAACCAGTGAGAAGAACACTGAGAAAAACACAAATCTCTCACAAAATAATCACAACTGCTCTGACTTTTGCAAAAAATTGTGTGTTTATGTAGGAACCCATCACTCGTAGGGCCTTTTAATCTTTATTTATTCTGCTAAATGCTTGTGCAGCATCTGTGTTACCTACACAAATATGATATCTTACACCACACATCATCCACTCATAAAGAGAGATGTGCTAAAATGCAGCAGGATAACAATTCTACTTTAAAGGAGATTAAATACATTTTAAGGCCTCACTCTAGTCAGTGTAACTCCCTGTTTTTTTTTTTTTATCAAACAGAGAATTGTTTGTTTTTGTTTTGGGTTTTTTGCTAGTCAGTGCACTGTGCAGTGTACTTCTTGGGGGCATCTTGGTCCCCAGATTTTGCTGCTAAGTGAGTGTTCTTGACTTTCACACTAATAAAAAATAAAACGGCACACAAGAGGAGAAACCTTCTGGTGCAAGGCTCTGAGATAACATTATCTTTTCTCTTTTGCTTGGATGTTGCAATGTTACAGCTCACAGATACTTAATACGACACCATCCTTGGCTTTTGTTTGATATCTAGTGGCAAAAAATGTTGCACATTTCTGATCTGTCGTCAGCGCCGTTAGCTTGTTTGCTATAACATGAATGCTGCTGTTACACTGAACGTCTGCTGTGCCCTGTTCAAACTTTACAACTTCATATGGGAAAAAAAACGAATCATGGAATATTCATATTAAATGGTCAAATCTGATACAACTGACATAATTCTGAGTCAGGCACAGCCCTAAATGTTAGTGTCTGAATACCTTGAGTTATCATGATAGCAACTTATCAGGACAACCAGAAGAAAAACTGTGCCTTTAATTGCATTTCCACCAAACTTCAGATGACTGGTAAATTGTCTTGATATGTGTGCACAGCTACATGCTAGCTTGCACATCAGCCCTCAGCCGTGGACAGCAGCCACTTTAAGAAATGCTTTGCTTTTTGGGGTAATGCTCTTGCAGGTCGGTGTTTGTCAGGGTGGTTATTGCGCAGTGGTGGGAATGTGGGTAGTGCACTGTACTGATGACATGTAATCACTGTGATTGTAGGAGGCCACATGACAACCGTGAAGGGAGAGGACATCGACTACAGTGGAACACCAGTCAACAAAGGAGGACTGGTGGCCAGTGTTGGTGTGGACCATAAGGCCATACTGGAGAAGCTACCAAACTTGGAACCTGAAAAGCACTGAGAGAAACAAACACAGAGCCATTGGTAGTTTGGTCAGGTTGTGGTAAGGGCAACATGTGGCAGCCCTTTTCTATAACTGAGAATGTGCTGCAAATATAACCATGCCCGTATGATTTCATCATCGTGGGACACCAAACATCCGCCACTCAGATGGATTGGAGTCACCGGCACAGGCCACTGAGCAGGACTGTGGAACCAACATGGCTGCCACTGGAAACTGCAACGGCTGACACAATGGCTCTGAATGCACAGTCCTGTACATGCATACATATGTGCAGCTAGGAGAAATGGTACACCTTCCTCTTCATGTGCATATATACACAAACACATGCTCACAGTGAACACTGGACAGCCACCCTCCCCAAGTCCCTGCACCTTCAGATGCTCTAATGACTCTAATGTGAAATGTTAAACTGAGGAGCACAATGCTGAACATTACAGCAGAACCAATGGAGTGACTGAGTCGATTATGTTTCATTATTTGGTCCCATCGTCATCACATGTGATTCCATTGAAAACACAAGAGTAGGAAACACCATGTATTCCTCACATGCACAGTTTCATTCACATCAGCTGAGGTCAGTTAGTGGATCAACAAGCTATCAGGATCAGGAAACTCACCTGACAGGAAACAATGAGCCTCAGTGCCCTAAAAAACAAATATGGGATTACTGCTCACTGGATTCATCAACAGACCATTTGTTCACCAGCACCATTATACCGCAACAGTTCACGTCACACAGTCTCAAAGTGGTCTGCTGCTTTAAAGTTGTTAGCTGAGGCAGCAACAAGAGCTTTTCAAATTTGGATTGGCAATCAACACTACAACCATGAGTGTCGGCTCCGCCAGAAGACATTTACCCCACATAAGTCACAGAAATGTTTTATTTGTTGGCCTTGCCCACGCTGTAGATGCAGGTCTGTCAAACTCTGGGTCAGGACCAGTGTAGTATTTTTTTTTTTAAAGAGCCTGGGCTCCAGTATAAATGCATTGATTTGATCTTCCCTCATCCTTGTTTACCCTCACCCTCTTGTTTTGAGAGATTTTTGAAGTAGTCCCATCTCAGTAAGCAGAAAACTTTACCAAGCAAAACTCAAGAGGGAAAGTTCCACTTTTAGAGAGTAACAACCACAAATTTTATTGTTGGTTAGTTGACATGAGTCTGAGAAAGTGTTTGCAAAAAAAGTGAACTGCTAAAATTGGCTGAACAAGTCCAACTCAAACAATAGTAAATTAATGGTAGACTACATTATTTCTCAAGTCACGGCAAGGGCTGGAAGGGATTAGATTTACTAAGTTATTAATTTCACTGAAATATGTTATAGCCAAAAAGGCAGAAAAGAGTGTGATGGTCATGGGGACCTTTTGAAGCAAAAGTAGTTTATTTTCTTTCTTTTTTTTTTCTAGGAAAGATTTTGGGCTGATTAAACCTATTCTCAGGTTTGGGTGTGGGAATTTGATACCTACCAAGTCTATCAAGAGCAGAAGCAGGGAAGTTGAAGGGATGCTTAATGTCTGGCAGTGAGTGCAGAGATGGAGATGGAAGATGAAAAGTGATAGAAAAGTGTTTAATGAACCTAAAAGATTCTGTATGCGACATTCAGAGCATTAATGTAGCATCAAACAACTATTTGCTGTGTAAAGATATAGTGGAGTATTGGTGTCCTGAACAGAGAATGAAGTCACACTCTGTGTGTGTTGTAATCCCAGCTCTGCTCATTTCTGTGCTAGACAGTCCAGCGGGGTGTGCGCATGTGAGTCCCTGTGTGTGTTCATACTACGACTACCACTGATGATGCCATCCAAACCCACAGTGGCAGAACAGTGTTTTTGTGTAGTGCCCACCCTCCAGTTGTCCTCATTGACTAAAAATAATAGACGAAGCTACTGACATACTGACATCACCCATTGGTTTGTGTACTCCTGTTTTGAAGCCCAGAGTTCAGCATTTCAGCTGTCGCCATCTTGGTTTTTTAGAGCCAGAAGTGACCATATTTGTGTGAGAGGATGGAGCTGTGGAGGAGCAAGGGATGGATCTGAAAAGCCGAGGAAACTATCAACAGATCATCCCTTAATTATGCTTAACTTCAAGTCTTATTAATATATAGTTATATAAAAAGTCACCCCTCATACAGTTGGCATGAAGGGAGAGATTAGCTATAGAGACTAAAACTGTTTATTGTACCAGGCTGGAACTTCTGGAACCAGCCTCAAGTGGCCATTCAAAGAACGGAAATTTTTGGCACTTCTGTGTTGGCTTCATTTCTCAGACTCTCAGTCATAGTTATGCTCTGAATGTCACATACAGCCCCGTAACCCTGAGCAGAGGGTCAGTCAGAATAACTTAAAACGTGCAAACATGTTTTTATCTTCCTCAACATCCTGTAAATGCTTGCAATGAGCTGGACTGATCTGAAGTCATTAAGCACCTTCCCAGTCTGTTTCTCCACACATCATCACCTCTCCAGTCCAAAAACACTATTGGTTGGACTGGTGCATGTCTCAGTGAGTTAAGAGCAGGGGATCAGCTCTCAGGCTGACCATTGGATGTGTTTGCCGCTGATGAGAACAATGTATAAAAACAAGTCCCAATATGTACAGTCACATTCAGGACTTAAACACTGACCAATTGCCACATGGGCAGTTGGTCATTACAGAAGAAAAGCATTTGTGTTTCAGTGATGTCACCATATGGAAGTTTAGAAAAAAAAACAAGACTAACCAAGCTGGATCAGAACACTTCCTCCTCACTGTTTGCAAACCATTTCTGTTACTTGATACTGTGCTGTGCACTATCAAATACTGCAGATTTCATTGATGTAAAAGTGATACCCTGGTACTAGTCATATTTTGTTGAAGACTGGACTGTATGCTGTGTTGGACATGTGCTTGCATGGTTTTATATTCTGATTAACCTTTGGAACACTTTTCACCCTCACCGGCTCTATCAATCCCTATTTCTGTGGACTACTGTAGGTCTTTCTGTACTGTCTGATGTAAGCTCATGTCAGTGTCTTGAAGAAGATAGACTTACAAGTGACCTGTTTAATGTTCAGTTTGTCTCAGCAGCCTTTGTATGATAACCTTGTATAGATACAACATGTGTATAGAGGTTAAGAGTTAAATGTTTATTCAACATGTATTGCTCAGACTGAAGATAATAGGTGACGACTAGGAGTAGCCATTAGCAGGTTCAGCACCTATTCTGGATGGTGTTATGCTCGACTCAAGGAGACAACAGGACACAGCTTTCGGTCTCAAAGCCCGAGCTGTTGCACCTACAAGAGGTCGGGTCTTCAAGTGCTACATTTCAGTTTTATGATTCGAGTGCCTTTGATCGTTGTCCTAAGATGAAAGTGTTAGCCACAGCTCTCAACATGATTTCTGTAGATGTTGCTATGGTAACGATGGATAATATGCAAGGGTAATGCTGCAATACCAATTTAAGTGGTATTACAGTGACATGGAAATCACATGGGTAATATAGTTTTGTTGGGGTGGAGATATGAGTGATGTACATTCTCTCAATCTGGGATTATGCTGCTTGTGTGCTGTTAGAAAGAAGTGGTTGAGTACAAATCAGAGTTATGGATTAAAGGGGAACTCCATTAATTTTACATAATATGAAGTCATAGTGTGTTTACAGGTGTTGGGGAGTACTACTGCATATTTGAAAAATGTTGAATAAAGTCTTTTGTGGCTCCAGAGGGAGCTGTGTGTGAAATCTGATAAATGTCATCAGGTGTTGTCATGTAAGTCAGTCTCAGTTGAAGCTGAGGAGTACATGTTTGAAAATGAAAAAAAGAAATCTGGGGGTGTGGATTTATAAAGACGTGAGTGTACCAGACCTCTGTATCCCACTTTTCATCTCTGCTGGAGGCTGGATTTTTGAGGCTATATTAGCTGCTACCAGCCTAACACACCTGGAACTCACATTGAACTGTCGATCGCCAAGTAGCATTGTGGGTAAAGTAGGCAGCAGGTTTTGCATGGAATAATAAAAGCAATAACTCTGCTGTCTTTATAGTAAAAGGGGCACTATGTGTTTTCACTTTACAAACCTGAAAAGTATTTTAAAAGTAGAAGTTAGCAGCTCCTTAAAGGGAAACTTTAATATTTTCCCAGGTTTTTGTGTCGAAGTGACTTGTGGAGACAATGATGTTTGAAATTGAAACAGAAACAAAATAAAACTCACAAAAAACATTCAGGTTTGTCTTTACACTGTTCCAACAATCACCATCCCTAGTTTGATTGAAATAAATCTTTAATTGACCCAGTTAGGTGTGACAGTAGTCAATAGAGGTTTTGGAGCTGTTTCTGGTGTAACAAAAAGGATTGTACTGTTCAACAAAAAGACATAGTGTTGCATAATGTTGTCAGACATTTATAATAACAGGCAAAAAACAAGCACTTGTAGAGGACGCACATTGAGGGTGCCCCTAGTGGTTTCATTGTTGCCCTAACCCTAACCCATATTGTAGCTGCCGGTTGCAGCCCTCTTGCTCAACACTGGACCATTCGTGTTTATGCATGGTTGTGTCAGCCACCATAGTCTCTCATCATAATGTTATACAATAACAATAACATACAATAACATTTTTCTGGCCATTATTCAACATCATATCTCAATAACAGAAGGGGAGACACCTGGTCAGATACTGAGTTGGTGACACTCATCTGTGGTGTCCTGTGCTGATTGTATAGATTTTCATAGTCTCGCCACCAGACAATCAGAGATCTCCGCCTTGTGATCGTTTAGTTAAGCAAAGCGTCTAAAGACTGACTTGTGAGTCTAGGCCACTCCTGTCATGGAATCCAAATGTCATCCACACTGCGTAAGGTGGCAGAGGGAAATGAGCAGCAGTACGATTTTCAACCACATGATGGAGTCAATGGACTGGTGGCGCTCTGTCCACTTGAGCAGGACACATGTCGGGGAATGCAAGAAAAAAACAAAAAAATGAAAATAAAAAAATGTCATTAGGTAAGATCCGACAGTGTGGAGTGTTGAGAGAGACAAGAGGGCATTAAGTATTATGTGCACTTTATATATATATATATACTAAATTGAATGCACTAACTTGAATTACTGTACACACAAGACTATTTACAATATATACACAGTATAATAAAGATATGGGATATTGCACAGGGTCTTAGCAGCGATGGTTTAAAACAGTGTTATGCAGCAGACATGACAGTGCTACATTACATCGGATGTTGACATTGCATCTTATGTGACATTTCCATAGACTATATAAAAATGGGGATTTCCTATCACAGGGATGTGTTCTAGACGCAATACCACTGTCGTTCAGCGGTTCCATGGTGTAATGGTTAGCACTCTGGACTCTGAATCCAGCGATCCGAGTTCAAATCTCGGTGGAACCTAACATTTTGAGAGTCAATATAAAAACCTTCTATCACAGCTACCACGGTTTACAACTGAAATTACACAACATCAATCATTCAGATCAGTCGTAACAGTGCAAATTAATTCGAATTCATTGTAGTCGGAGAACTACAATAGAAGAGGAGGGGAACAATAACAAATGGTTCTTAATAAGGGAGAAAGCACTGTGTCCGGTACACAGGCAGACACAAAGAAGAGTTCAGAGAAATGTAATTTTTAACACATTTAATGCATTTTAGCATATTATTGATGATGATATTTGTTATCTGTGAAGTAAGCAGGGGAAATGTAAAATGTAAAATCCAGTTTCTATTGACAGTGCCATGTGTGCAATGAGGAGGTGCTCCGCGACCGTTTATCCGAAGCTTTTACTATTTACACCAGTTCCAGTCGAGCCTTGTTGGGACGTGATTTTTAGACGAAATTCGCAGTAAAGTGTCGTTCAGACGGTTAAACCGGGTTATCTGTTTGTTGTACCAACATTCTTAGAATTTAACTGCCGGTATTGTGCGCGGTGCCGTTCAGTTTACGGGGGGGAATATATAGAGCTCGGCAAACACCGGAAGTGTCACAGTTTGAGACGGAAGCGGAAGCACCTATCGATGCGTTTAGCATAACGTGTGGAGAAGTTTTAACGTTGTAAATTTTCCTAACTCTTAACACCAGCGAACCCCTCTGTTGTTTTATCTCTGGTCCAGATTCAAGATGTTTAACAGACAGACGAGCCTGTGGATGGGTGATGTATGTCTGAAATCTCTGTGTCTTTCAGTGTGTGGACGCTAGCTTAGCTACGCTTGCTAGCTGTTAGCGCGGTTATGCTAAGTTAGCCTGCATATTTGACCACGTTGTAAAACTTTAGCCCAAACTCTGTTGTAAGGTACTTAGGTACACCTTGGCGTAACACAGTCATAAACACAAGTAATGTTATTTTACATTGGTGGTCAAATGATTCACGAAATACCCCTTTAACTCCATCGTTGCCTTCACCTTGAAGCAGGCGTTAGCTAACTTGGTACAAGCTTACGACAATCGTTCATTGATATGCAGAATTGAACCCAGCGATGCATTCACGTTAGGTGTTATGATGGCCTTTGCATTTGGGCTCTCTTTTATGGGTTTTGAGACCCCTTAATCAAATAGTCGCCGTCAATGGTAATAGTCAACGCTTACACATGTGTAACAATTTAAAACGTTTCCCGAAGAAAGGAGCTTGTTGTTACTTATCGTTATGAATTGTACTGAATTTTTCTTAAGCAGTTTTTCTAAAATACTTTAAAGCTGATTGTGTAGCATCAACAAGAAGGACCCAGTAACCACGCTGTAACAATCTTATACATTAAATACAGCTTTTACAATTTAGATATGTGCACATACTTCAGTACTATTAAGAACAAAGGTATTGGCTGCAAGTGAATGTGACGCATGTAAAACTTTCTTCTCTCTTAGTTGGACCCATACATGGATGAGAACTTCATCAAGCAGGCATTTAGTGCTATGGGAGAATCACCGTTTGGAGTCAAGATCATCACTCACAGGATAACAGGGTAGGATATACACAACACTTTATACCATACACAATCCCTGTGATAGGTATATGAAGACAGCTGTTAGAAAATTAGATGTGCTGAAGTTTTCCCATAGAAAAAATGTGTTAAAAAGTGTTAACCCTAGGGCTTCAGATCAACCTTTTGACACCGGTTGAACTGGTGCGCCTAACTTCTTCATTTAGGTGCACCAGCAATTAATATTGGTGCATGTAGCACTGGTGTTACAGAAGCCCTTTTTACATAGAGATCATCCTATAGGGCCTCTACAAGGTCTCTCCTTAATGCCACCTTTGCATTTTTACACAGAACCAAATAACTGCAGTATCATGTGGCTCCTGTGCATGATTTTAGATAGCATGCTGACATTGTAAAATCAAAAGAGGCGTGATATTTAACACAACAGTATTGGCCTCTAGTGTGACATATAATATACGTGTTGACACTACTTTATAAACAATGACATGAATGGCATCAATTCCTAATTATTCTGTCCTCATGTGCAGTGGTTCAGCAGGATACTGCTTTGTGGAGCTGGCAGATGAAGCGAGTGTCGACCGTTGTGTCCAAAGACTGAATGGAAAACTGGTTCCTGGATCAAACCCGGTCAGTTCTATGGTGTAATTTCAAAATTGCTTACTCAAATCTTTCATGCATTCCTTACTGCAATAAATATGATCATTGTTTCTCTATAAATATATTATTGACAATTTAATACTGCCTTCCTTTTTTCTCCCAGTATTAGACTTATGTTATTGAGCAGTATTTAATTGTTGATCTGACTGTGGATAGTGGAGCTCCACTAGTCTTGGTCCTCCTTTGTTATAACAGTAACTCAGTAGTGATTAGCTAAATGAGTCAATAAAATATGAGGTGGTAAGTTTGCTCTGTAAACACACCAGAATTCTTGTTAATACAACAGATCTGTTCGATTTGCTGTTTGTGTTAATTTCATGATCACCATTGTGCTTCCCCAGTGAATTAAACCCAAGTGTTTACAAAGAAGCAATGCGAGATACCAGTTACAGATAAGATACTAAGTAAAACTATTTACTATATTGGCTGCAGTGACAGCAAGTGTACTTAAGGGTCTCGGGATGTAAAACAAAAAAAAGTCATGCCAGCCTGAAAATGTCTCTACAGTCTCAAGTGGTGTGTAAAATTGCGAGCTTCAGCCGCTTGCTTCTGCATTTGATATTTTAATGGCTCCTGTGAGCTGGCCAAGCTACTGGGCTCCCCTGTCCGCCAGCCTGTACCTGCTGCTGAAGGTGGCTGAGAGGCTGCTTGTACATGAATGTACTTTTGTTTGAAGCTGGTGAATAGAGTCTCTGGTAGGAACTAACTGAGGAATGGGCTAAAGGCTGGTCTGGGTGGTGGAGGTATGTAAACCCAAATAACAACAACCATAATAACTCCACTCTTTATTTCCAGCAATATCAGTGCTATACTACACATCTCTGGTGTTTGAAGTTGGCTTAGTGTCTGTGTTTTCTCTCTCCCTGTGCAGCCCCGGAAGTTTAAGCTAAACTATGCCACCTACGGCAAACGGCCAGAGGCAGGGTAAGATACCATTCACATTGAACTTTTTCATGTTACTGTTTGAGTCCAAAGTTATGTTAAAGGGTACCTATTTGCTCTTTTTATGTTCATAATTGTATTTTGGCTTTCTACTAGAATATGTTTTACATGCCTTAGTGTTCAAAAACACCTTATTTTCCTCATGCTGTCTCTGGAACACCTGCCTTCACTCTTTAAGCCCTCCCCTTTGAAAA